TACAAACCGTGGCATATCTTATGGCCTGATTTGGAAGAACTTCTGCTAGTATAGCTAGCGACATTTTTGGTAGGGTTTTTCTGAACTTTAATAATGGATTCAGTTTTTTTTCCCTGAGTTTACTTTTGAAATGCCATTAAAAGTCACTAATTTATTCGACAGAAATAAGTCTAAATAAATTATTTTTGAAGCAAAACAACACTTAAAGATTTTCTCATAACAGCAACAGTGGTTTCAGTCCCTGTACCCAATCTATCTGTCAATTTAAAGAAATTTTCAGGAAGCAGTGTATTTAATGTAATAACCCTTGTGCCAGTTTTGTTTGGAAATTGACTAATAGGTCCTAAAGCTGTTGTGGAACCATGTAAAGTACTGATACTTTTGCCCAGCAACAACCAAGAAGCATTTATTTCTTTTTGTTCTGTTTTTATATAAAACTATATAAATATTCATTCTGTATCACTTTTTCAGACCTGAAGTCTATGATTACAAATCTTCATTATAATTTAAAACCTAAAGTCTGGTTTAGAGCTGCAAATCATTCTACAGGCAGTTTTCTTTATAAGATGATCATGTGAAATATATAACTGATTTTCCCTCAATCATCATTCCTTTCAACTGTGGACATTTTTGAGCTTACAAAGCATTCTGAGTAGGTCATTTTAAAATGAACTGTTTTGCAGGTTGGTTTTTTTTTTCATAATGTGGCATTTTTGTCAACTGCCACATGTGCCTTATTTGGTTTTGCCACTGTTTTGATCATACTTCCAGGTTTTACTCTGAACTTCCTTTTATTGATATCATTCATACAAAATCTCTTCTTGTGTGTATGACCACTTGTTCTAGGTCTTCCACATGATTACAGGTAAACCATACATTAGATATCGTGTTGCATTAGATAGCCAGTGGTGCATGTATTCTTTCTGAATGTGAAAGTGAACAACCACTGCTGTATTAGACTCCTTATTACTTAATATGCTTTATAGGCTTCTCAAGCAGAAGTTGACTCACTGTTCCTCTCGTCTCTTTTGTTAATATCCTTCAGATATCCCACTATAGCAGGGGTTACTGTCAAAGCCGTATTAGCAGTTCCCAATCAAGGTGGGAAGATGAAAGGCTCTTGCCTTTCCTTTGTTTCTTAGGAGTAATATTTTGCTTTCAAGCCTTTTCTGTTATTATTTGACAATTTTTCACTGTCCTTGATCTTTACATTTCTTTTTTCAGTTTTGTCTGTACTATAATCCTGTAAGAAAACCATTCTGGTTTATGCTTGTAAAGTTTTCATACAGTAAAGCCCTGGCTCAAGTAATATATATAGGCACCACTTTGTTGCAAATAATAAAAGAATGACTTTTTATATTATTGTGCATGCTTCTTGCATAAGGAAATTGCTTCAGTTTAGCATTGCAGTACTGAATAATGCCATGTGCCTACACAGATCTTTCAAAAAGGGGCACCAAGCTGTTGGAAAGATGTCTCTTCCACTAAGAAAATTACTCCTAACTAGATCTTGTTTGCACATTAGAATAATTTTGATCTTTTTAGTTGCAATTGGTCCTAAGATACCTCTGTCTGTGCATCTTACCATGATTACAAACCTGTCTCAGAATCAGCTGTTACCTGTGAGTCCTCAGCAGTTTTGCCTCTAGCTCTCTTAGTCACTTAATTGCCATATGAAAGACATATATCTTACAGTTAGCTCCTCTGGACACAAAGTATATTTTCTTTCCAAACAATTCTCATCAAAACCAGTTAGAAAAAGCTTTCTGTTCACTGTATTTTGTTTTTATGCTAGAATGTTTTTGACATTATATAGGCTCACAGAGTCATTTAGGTTGGAAAAAGCCTTTAAGATCATCAACTTCAAACACTAATTCAGCACTGCCAAACCCATGTGGCAGCATTGGAGGGGACTGTATTAGTACACAATGTATTAATGTTTCCTGATTTCTGAGATTAATTTCCTCACTTTATCTGCCAAATTATTTTCCACTTTTTTTCCAAAGAAATGTTACTATGAAGCTTCCTTCATTCTAAAATTACTTAGCTGTAATCAGTTCTGTTACCCTTTGCCATTCTGCTCTGGTGTGGGTTTTCTGTACTGTAAGTGTAGAGATAGTCTGAGTTAAACAGTTTTACTGACAGTTGTAATGCTCTAGTATTTAATGTTGCCTTAAGAACCTTTCCTACAGCATGGAGCTGGAAATCATGGTCCCAAGCTGTTCCTGTCTGTGACTAGCTTCTTTGGGTGTTAGTGCAGCCAGACTTGTGCTTCCTGCTTACTGTACATCCCAGTTGCCTCTGTAGTAAATTTCAGTATATGCCGAAGTTTTCTGTGGCCCTCTCATGTGGAGAAAATCAAACTGGAGCAATAAGTTCTAAGGTAAGAGAGACACAGTTACTGACATTCATGGTTGTACAAGAGCTTGTGATTGGACACACTGGTAAACCATCTCTATGCATTTTTGGCACAGCAGCTCAGAATTTACAAGCCCTCTTGCACATAATATACTGTAAACTGCAATGCAAAGGCTAAGGTAGAATGGCAGGGCAAGTGTTTGTCCAGAACTGATAAATCCTGGCTTAAGTCCTTCTGCTCTGTACTTTTAATGCAATCCACAGTACCCATACTGTTAAGGTACTCACTATTTGCAGAGTTCAGTATCTCCCATAGACAGAGATACTCTTTGGGAGTAATGAGAGACACAGCAATTCAAACCAGTATAAGCCATAAATGTAATCTCTGAAACATCTAGAGATTTCCATATTTACAAAACCACAATATTAACAATTGTCATTAACTTTTGGTACCAGTGTCAGGCAGTAGTGGTCTGTCATGGCCTATGAGTGTCAAAAGTGACCTCTGTAATACATAGTGTGTTGCATTGACTCTGGCTGGATTCCAGGCACCCATCAAAGCTTGTCTAACACTTCCCACCACAGCTGAACAGGGGAGGCAAGGATTGGGAGTTCAGAGTAAAGGTGATGAGAGAAGAGTTTTGACACTCAGCAGTGTCTTGATAAGCTCCTATTTTGGGTTTTTTTGGTGGATCTCTTGGTTATTGGAGTATATTGGGTTCTGTGAGCTGTGAAAGAGAAAACCAGAAACAGGAAAAGAGAAGGATAGAAGAAGCAGAGTGTAGTAAACTTCTCCTGAGTGTCTCCCATAAAGATGAAAATATTGGTTGCTTCTTTAAGCCAATATCCCCATTCCAATCAGGATAGGGTTTCCTTTTGCAGTAATCAGGGGAGAGCATGGCTAAGACCTACAAGGATTGTTCTCTTCTACCTCATGTCATTGCTGGGGTCAGGGGAAGGGAATCTCTTCCAAAGAGAAGGACTTCTTCCAGCTGAGTAAGCGTGGTGCAGGTTCTGAGCTGGAGGGAGCGGTTGGGTAACATTGGTTCCAAGCTGGAGGGAAGCAGGCAGGTGGTGCTGGTTCTGAGCCAGAGGGAGCAGTGGGGTATTTATCTGTTGTCAGGGGTTTCCACAATGAGCAATGACCATGGTTTTTCTTATTCTCTCTGCCTTCAGTGTTGTTGCTATTACTGTTTATATTCTTATCTCATTGCTATTCCTAGTAAATTGTTCTTATCTCAATCTGTAATCTTCACCTTTTGTGCCTCCAGTTCTCCTCTCCAGCCCTCCACAGAGGGGAGGAGGAGCAAGTTGAGTGGCACATGGTTTGGAGAGTCTCAGTGGGAGCACTAAACTGAAGAGTACCATTCCTAAATCATGACCGCCAAAAACCCAGGGTGCCATTAGTACCAGATCTTCAGATTACTTGGAAAAGTTTAGTCATCTTACAGGAGCAAAGCTGGAACATGGCAATGCACACAAGTTGTTACATTCATATGGGATGAGCGCCATTTGGGAAGTCCAGCTATGTCTTCCTGCAAATATAGCAGTGCAAGAAAATTTGGAGCATATGCACTGACAAAAGCAAGCAGTTACTAAAGATGGTAGGAGTTCCTAGACTTTCTATTCTAAGGTTTATATTGTGCTTTGTAGTTATAAAACTGTGGCTTGTTTTGAACTCATTCTTGCTGGAACATGGCCTTCACGGATTACTTTTCAAAGGCACAGAAATTCACAGTTTATTTTTAGAGATTTTTATTTTGTTTTGCCTTTCTTGGCAAAGTAAAGGTATTTTCACACCTGAAGGATGGGATGCCATCCAGAGAAGCATGGACAAGCTCAAAAAATGGGTGTACAGGAATCTCATAAGGTTTTAATAAGACCAAGTGAAATCTGCACTAGGTGGAGTAAAGCTTATGTGGAAAGACTGAGTATTTGGTTTGTTCAAAGTTTGTTGAGTATTTGGTTGGAAAAGAGAAGGCTTAAAGGTGATGTAATTATGGCCATTTAGTACCTGAAAGGAGCCTACAAGATGGAGAGAGACTACTTACAAGGGCATGTAGTGATAGAACAAGGGAACATGACTTCAGACTGCAATGGGGTAAATTTAGACTTGATATTAGGTAAAAATTCTTTACTGTGAGGGTGGTGAGGCACTGGAACAGTTTGACAGAAGTTGTGGATGTGCCATTATTGAAATGGTCAAAGCCAGGTTGGATGGAACTCTGATCAGCCCGGTCTAGAGAAAGGTGTCCTGCACGTGGCAAGAGTTAGGAACTAGATGATCTTTTAGGTCCCGTTCAAGACACACCTTTCTATGTTTCTACATTTTTGTAAAGCAAATGCATATAAACTGTGAAAATTAATTTTAAAAGAAGAAATTTGACCATTATACAGCATTTTTGGTTTTGTTACTTCCTTCTTTTACTGTCTTGTGATTTTTCATCTTTCCCACAGAGGACTTTTTCTGACATTCCTGTTTTATGTTTCATCATCTTGTTAAAAGTAACCTGTATTAAATTTAAGAATATCATCTGTGTGTACTGTCTTCTTAACCATTACTGAAAAAGATCTTCCAGACCATTGGTTTATCAAAAATAGTTGTCAGCTGAATGGGAAAATATGTTCTCTTTTTCTTGCAGCCTGCAAATGATAACCTGCATACAAATGATGAGCGTGAACTCAGAGGAGATAAAGAAAGCTATCTCTGTGCTGTGTGCCTGGATGTTTATTTCAACCCTTACATGTGTTATCCATGCCACCATATCTTTTGTGAACCTTGCTTAAGGGTGCTTGCCAAAGACAATCCAGCCAGCACTCCATGTCCACTGTGTCGCACTACAATTGCCAGAGTCTTTTTCCAAACAGGTATAGAAATGAAAGTTTTTACACATAAAAAAATATTTGTACTTTTCTATGTATGCATTCAGAGCAAATTTTGGTAATGTTAATCCACTGTGAGATTTTCCTTCCATTACTTTCCATTTCCATTCCTCCTTCCATGCAGGTTCTCTTCAATGTCAAGATGCTATTCGGGGCATATCAATTTTTATAAACTTGTTATTTTACAAATGACATTCTGATCATTTTCTCCTTTTTTGTAGAATTCTGGTAGATTTCTTTTATTTCTTCTTCCTGAATAATAAGCTCCAAACATAATAAACATTTCTCAAACTATGCTATTGGAAAAGTATTTTTTTAATTGTTCATTTAATGGTGCACAAAAAAAAAAAATACCCTTTTCATTTATGACATTAAATTTGGACACAAGTGAAAATAAAGGCTGGCAGAACCCTTGATAATCTTCTTAAATTCACCTGTCCTGGCCTCTTATACCCTCATCTCTTGTGTTCCTTACTCTTAAAGAAAGAAAAATACGGTGTGTAGGGGGCACTGGTGTCAGATTTGGTATAGAAATAGAAGAGGGTAAGTAGTCCTGCAGATAGAATGTCTGGAACAGTGTGAGTCAGCCTTTTATGCCCAAAGCTCATATGGTAGATTCAAGTACCATTGGTAGAATTGCACTATGGTATCTGGAGTTAGGGCATTTACAGCACTTAAAACTGTGCATAGACAGTTCACAGAGTAATGGAAATTACTCAGCTATGCAGGAGTGTTTGTTTCATTTTCGATGCTACAGAGGTCTTGCAGAGATCATCTTTAAGCTGTTGTGAATGCTGTGGTGATGACAGGTTAGGGATACAGACTGAAGTATGGCTTCACATTGAACAGCAGAGCTGCCCACCTTCTGTTCCTGGTTGTGCACAAACGCTGCTTTTGGACAGGCCTAACTTTGTATGATTTCATGGCAGGTCAGTTTGAAGAACTGACTGGGATAAATAAGAACTCATTTGGGTGGGAAGGAGGCATTTTCCAGATGAACCTATTGCCCCAGGATGATTCACTGAGCAGCTCCTGGTTGCCAGGGATAGAGACTGGCTATCCCTGGCTATCCGTTCACTGATGCACTGCAGCAGAAAAACATGGGTGGAAAGCTGCAGCCTGAGCACTCTCAACCCCCTGCCTGTCTGCTGTATAGAGATTTCAAGCTGTTCTCATTTCATTTCCCTAATGTTTGATTCTCCCTTCAGTTTGATGTACAGATAAAGTGTGTTTCACTGATACAGAGTTAGGCTATTCTAGGGCTATTTCAGTTTTCAAAAACCAATTTAGCAGATTTGCTGCAGAAAATTACCACTGGGAGAGCACAAAAGGAGAATAAAGATGCTTCCTAAAATGTATTTGCAAAAATTTTCAACATATTACAGTTGTCTAAGTGAAATATCATTAGGATTATTTGTGGCCTTTAAATATTTAACATACAATGCATAAAAATGCCTGGTAGGAGGGAGTGAAGAAGAAGGAGCCAGATTCTTCTGAGTGGTGCTCACTGCCAACACAAGAGGCATTCAGTACAAACTGAAACACCTAAGATCCCATCTGAACACAAGAAAGCACTTTTTTTTTCATGTGAGGGTGTCAAACAGGCTGGTCAGAGAGGCCATGGAGCACCCATCAAAACCCAGCTGGACATGGTTCTGGGCACCTGTGCAGCTGACCTGCTTGAGCAGGTTGGATTAGCTGTTCTCAAGACATCCCCTACAACCTTACCCACTCTTTTAGAATATTGAATAGCTTTTATGAGGAAAAGGATGCCTAAGGAGCAAATACATTGTCACAGACTTGTAAATAGAGTCTACTATAAACAGTGGATCATAACAGTATATGATATGTTTTGTATTAACAACTTCAGATGAGGGAGATCTGCAGCTATTTGCCATTCAATGTATAGTAATATGTGCTTGACTTAGCAATAAATTTAAAAATATGTACAGTAATTTAGCTCAATTATATTATATATATTAAGAAATATATTTTGAACTTTTCCCAGTGCATAACATCCTGAACAACTTTTAAATGAACTAAGGGTTATTGATGATGCTATCATATCCTTAGAGAAATTAGTAAAATCATTAAGATGAATGGTGCCAGAGCAATGTAAAGCATAGTAATTTTTTTTTCCACTCAGAAGAGTTCTTAAACCTTTAAAAACTTACACTAAAGTCAGTGCTGCTATAGGTTTGTGCAGGCAGCAAAGCAAAGTTGCTTGTAGTCTTTACATACTTCTCTAATGCTACAGTTTGGATGTCTTATTTTCCTCAATTTATTTTGATGCGTTCTGCAGCTTTCCTTTCATATATGTGCATTCATTTTACAAAGATATTTCAAAAAAGAAAAACATTTAAGGATACATTCAGAAGTTCACTTTTTAGCTTGTACAGTTTTGGAGACTGAACACAGCTGCAAAAGAATGATGCCTGTAAGGTGTGGAAAGAAAAGGGCTAAGAGGTCAATTATCCATCAATTATGGAGAAAAACAGTGTTTAACTGAGAGCTACAAAGACTCACGAGGGTCATTGCTCTGGCCAGTTGCCTCGGTCAACAGAGCCTTTTTTACAAGATCCCTTAAGTGTAAGTTCCAGTCCAGATAGGTTGCTCTCATGGTGCTTTCTATGCATTCCCATCTTTCTTAAAGGCTGTCTTAGAAGCCTTTCTCCCATCAGAATAAACTCCCATCTGATCAGATGACAGCGTGCCCAGAACACACCTAAGAAAACAGCTCTTGAGCTGATTCCACCAAGTAACTTTCTAAGTTACCAAGTATCTTCTACATGCTTCACTTACCAGGCAAGATCTTCTACACTTTCGTTCATATAAAGTTTCATTTATGTTGTTTGCAAGAAGGGCCAGACCTGACACTTACGTGCAATAAATCCACTACTTTGGAGAAATGCAGATTGAGGGTAGCAGTTGTGCAAGGAAGGTCCAGCCATGTGGCAGGAAAAGAGAGTCATGCATAGAGAGAGACAGGTGACCTGGCCAGCCTGAGGGGATCTTTCACTGAAAGCCTAGCCAAGCAGCATCGTAGAAGCCAGTAAGACTTGTCACCACTGCCTTTTCTGAAAAACAGGAATTTGATGCCTCACCAGAGGTTTCAGTATTTAAATTTGAATAAAATTGAAAGAATTGTGTTGATTTCTGTGGTCTGTAGCAGGAAAATAAAATGTTCTCTGTCTATGCCATGAGAAGCAAGAAGAGTCTCATCAGAAGCTTGAATCTGAATAGTACTTAATCCAAATATGTTCAGTAGCTTATAAAGCTCTTTCATAAAAATTTAAAAAGCAATAGTGAAAAATACACAATTTTTTCATTTTATATTTAAGAGAGAAAAAGGCCTTTTTTCCTTCAGGGACAGTATTTTATATGTGCAGTAGCTCTATTTTCACATAATGAGATAGAGGATTTGAAGATTCTGTGCTCTTCATGTATTGTATATCTTGATTCCACCTGCATTGTGACATGGTGAAATAAAGGAGAATTTTTAGAATCAGACCAGAATGGGGTTTTTACTTCAAATCTGCTAATGTCTTCATCTTACACAGAAAAAGCTACTGAAAGCAAGAGAATTTTTTTTTTTCTTTTTAGAGCTGCTCACATAAAAGATTAGCTTTCTTAAATTTGCCAGACAAAAATATTTTATCCTTTCATAAAATATTTATTACTAGAAAAGTATGTTTCATTACATTGGACCATGGGAAGTAATAAAACAAGCCTTCTCAAAAAACCTGTGCTTGTCTTTTCTTACTTGGAAAGTACAGAAAGAATTATGGTACCAGCTACTCTTTGTATTTATCTGGAGCCATCTTGGTTTGGAGACACAAATTGTGCAGGGGTTTGATGAGCAGGGTGTTGAAGCTTTTCCTATTAACTACTAGCTTTGCAACCCTGTTTGTTATCAGTAGATCAATCCTATGGTAGGAAAATAGTTTTTAGTTTTCCATTGGATTTCTATGGATAGATTAGTTTGGCAGTTTTAAGCTGCAATTATGTAGGTATTTCCCCAAATTATACCCTGAGAAGATGTTGATTTCTTGAGATTAGTATATAATGCCAACTTCTCCAATGTGTCATGAATCATCCTACAAAAGTTTTCTTAACAGCATATAAAATAATTCATTAACAGGATTAATTAGTTAACAAGATCAACTTCCTGTTAATCCAAAGACTTCTTTAAAATATCAAAAAAAAGTCAGGCTCTTCTCCTTCCTTTACATTACTAACTATTACTGAATGGTGATGTTAAACAAAAACCTGAGAATTAATACCACAGTAACTTTTATGGATATAATTTTTATTCATAGAGGTCATCATAGTTTTGGAAGTTAAATAGCTTGATTTCTTAAATACATCATTTTGCCAGAAATTATCATCGTGACTATCATCTTTTCTAATGGTTTTTTTCCCAAAGAAGTAGAATGTTTACAATTTGCTCTTACTATATATGGAACTGGTTGGGTAAATGTGATTGTAAAAAATAGGTGTTATAATCAGAACTATACATATATATGGCATTTTTATTTTGCATAAATTTATGCTAATTGTTACGCTAATTATTATTGTGCTTTATTTAGAGCATTGATGTATGTATTCTTTTCCCTTAATTATTGTAGATCTGAATAACTGTACCAGATCTTTTTTCCCTATGGAATATTTGAATCTAAAGGAAAATTTTCAAAAATCCAATTCTGCTAAATGGCCTCTACCAAACTGCAAGAAAGCATTCAAAGTTTCTGAAGGTAAGATTTTTAATTTTTGCCTAAATGTCATTCAATCTTTAGTGTAATATTTGAAAATAAGACTGATTAATACATGCCATTGGCAACCAGATGGATGATTCTTAAAGTAGAGATGAGTTTAATTCTCATGGGTGATTCATACACAGTGCTCTGAATCTAAAGATAAATTGCAAACTGTAAAAAGACAATTGTGTATGTGCCTTTTAATTTATTTTTAAATCTTTAATTCTGTTCACATTATCAGGATAATTTCATGGAGCTTCCTCCTTAGAAAAATTTCTGTCTGCATTGTGGAATAAGGAAAATTACTCTAGGAAAAAAGTTGCTAGTTCTGAGTGTGGTCAATAAAAACCTCTCAAAAAAAATCAGAAAAATCAGTCTTTTATGAAAGAAGTCAAATAAAAAGTTTTTAATAATATATATTATTCCATACATAATGCATGCAAAATGGAGTAATGGGTATGGGTGTTTTCATTTTATTTTCTCTTTATTATATGAAGAAAGCTTAGTCCCCTTCTTGAAACTTTAACACTAAACATTTTCATGATTAACTGATCATGAACTGAACAAATTTAAGTTAGACCATCTAAATGCAGGATTCACTGTTTACCCATATTTCCCTGTGGCCTTTCTTCACCAGACCTCATAAACATTTACTTAGTTATTTGTATATACTTTTCATAGTGCTGAGTCTAGCTAGCAAATATACTTTTCCTTTTTGTAAGAGCAGATTGCTTCTGAAAATATGTGGAAAAAATAAAACAGACCATTTTATATTCCTTTTATAAGTCTACCCAGGCTTTTGTAAAGGTGAAATTTGATAACTTCTGGAACTCCACTTATAAAGTCATGTCAGGTAATGCCACAATTTGATATTTAAAATATCAAGAAATGTGCCTGGCTATCAAAAGTAGCAGACTTGAGAAATTTGAGGACTGGTAAATTATCTTTGGTATTGCTCAGAGAAGAAACTGGAGGCAGGACAAATTAAGATGACTATTTTCTCTTACAGGTGTTAATGTAGTATGGGTGTTAATGCTGGGCTCATTAACACCCATATTTATTTTAAATATGTTTATTTTAATACATATTTTGTATGTTACATCCTTCCTTTATGTTTTGTAGTCTTATACAAATTATGCTTTTCATAAATATGTTTCACAATGCTAAGAAAATTGTACGAAGCATAGATAACTAGAAATAAAAGAAAGATCTGGAGAGGTCATACAGTTTCAGTATTGTGCCACCTGAAAATTTGCCATAGTCTTCAAAAAAGGTAATTCTAAATACATAGCCTAAAAGTCCCACACTAAATAGGAACATCTAGCTGATACACCACACAAACCCCAAAGCTGTCTGAAACTTGTATTTGCATTCCTAAATAAAAGGATGACTTCCATGTGTCTCTTCTGACTTTTTATTTCAATACAAAATTACTGCTTTTTATTTCAGTTTTTAAAAAAAATGTTTGTGTGATTTCAAATGCAAATCTGTAGCATTTTCTTCCTGGGTTTATATCTAAATTGTGTTTGGCAACACTTAAAATTCCATATTTTTATAATTGCTTGTGTTTTCTGGCTCAGGATGCTACTAGGAACTTAACAGGCGTAAAATACTGAGAATAGTGACAGCAAAATTCTTCTGTCATCATATTAGATTCCATTGCAAAGGCAAACCCTGATACCACTGAGATCTGAAGGGACAAAGAGGGCACTTAGATTAATTTTCTGTTAATTAGGAACCTAATAGCCTAATAAGATCTTATAATTTCAGAAGTGAAATACAAAGAATGGAAAGAGGAATAGGGTGAGTATGTGAGTAGACTGACTGGAGTTAAAAGGGATATTTGAACATGAAAATAACCACCTCTGTATAGGAGTGCATTGTCAAAGAAGAAATTCTGTAGCTGTGTTAGAAATGCATAAGCCCTTTCACCTTCATATCTAGCAGGTCCAGTGTTTACTGAGAATTTAGAAGCTCTTTTTGTATGATTCCAGCTTTCATTGTGACAAAACCTCTTCCACAATATCATTTTAATACCACAGATATAAAAATAGTAAACCTTAGCCAGTAAATCACTCATTAGAGATGCTAGATAAAATCAGACCCCAGAGCTAGATTGGGATATGAGGAATAAAAAATGGCTGCTAGGAAGTTTAGATTATATACAAAATTTATCTGGTTAACTAATTTTGACTTCATGAACATTGCAGGGCTGCTAGATAAAATGAAGCATTTCCTCTTTTTCCTTACTTTTTTTCCTGAACTGATTCACTAAGCCAAATATATTTGGTTATCTACATGTGACTCTTCTTTCATATGAGATTTTCCATGAGGAATGTAGAATAATCTTTGGTAATGCAACCAACCATAGCTTTTCAGTTCTTATACAAAAAGAAAGAAACCTCATAACTGCAGCACTTTTGGGCTTTAAGCTGATGAAAATTGCTCTTTAGTTTGCCCTTGTATTGCACTGTATTTTTTTCCAATAAAATAATCAACAGAATTCCTATTTGTTTCATAAACATTGCTTATGGTATTGCTCTCAATATGGTATGCTGTGTTTGGTCAAGGATAAGTTAATGGTAAAATGTGATTGGTGTTCATGAAGTAAACCAATTCTTTTTTCCCATTCAGATTTTTAATACATGGAAAAGTTAACAAGATAATTTTAAATATTTCTCTAAAATATCTTCTATTTCATATGAGATAAACAGAGATATTATATTAGTTATTCTTTTGAGTACTGATAACTTTAACAAAATGTAAATGCACAATAGAAATAACATCTCAATTAATGGTTTCCTTACATAGATTTTAAAACAGATAAATAGTGTAGTTTGAACAGGAGAGTTAAATAGCAAATACACTCAATTGGATCCTATTATCATATATCATAACTGAATCACCCAAGTGAAGCCTTTGTATGCTATTAAAGTGGAATTGCATTCTGTAAGAGCTGTACAGTCACAGGAAGTTCGCCAACTTAGGGTAAGTCTCCAACAGTAATTTGATACAGAAATGTGGGCTAAAATAAGAGATTAGGATAATTTAAATTGCAAATATGATACTTAATTTGACAGTGATTTTGGTGTAATCAAGTGCAGAAATTTAAAATTACATATTTAGTACACTGTGCCTAGAAGTGTTATTTCTGAACCTTTTGCATAAATCTGAGATAGAACTACATTGAAGAGATAGAGGATAAAGTAGTCAAGATAATGATGATAGCACTGTACATGGATGCTGTCTGCCTGCATGTATGTTGAGGTTGTAGAGATGGCTCAAGAAAAGTAGAAATAGGTGTTTAGAATGGGAGAAGGGGATTATAAAACCTCTTGAGTTACAACCCTTGATTACTATTTGAAATCATAATTATTCCTAGGCTAATAGAAATCCCCTCCAACTGTTACTGATCCTGATGTTTTTATTTAAAACATGAGAATTAAATTGAAAGTCTAAAATATTACAGAATAGATAAAAATAGAATGTTTATTTCTATCTTTTCAAATCTTTAATCTAGAAGACATTCCCCAAAGTGTTGCATACCATGAAATCTGTGCAGATTCTTTCCTGGTCTCGTTTCTTTAGGTACTTAATAAAAATATTGACTTCTGCATTAGTCAAGGACTGCACAATAGAGTGTTTTCCAAGCCTACTGAAACCTGGTGGAAATTACCACCACCTCAGTAGGTCACATCTGGCAAGTCCTTTTATGTACTCATTCTCTGGAGAAAATGGTGAGCAATTTCCTTTAGAGAAAGCTTTTAATAATACCAGTTGGTACATTTCCTTGTATTTCTGTCTTTCAAATAGTACAATATTAAAATTTACTTTCTTGATATCATTATTTCAGTTTGATAGGCAACAAAGGCACAATGTTGAAAATTAAAATTTACAGGTTTTAAATTCATACTTCCGTGTTTAAAAGAGCCAAATAAAGTGATGCTCATTTTCAAGTTCAGATACTGTGATCTAGTGAGAAGAAAACAAGACAGGTATTACTGAAAATAGTAGGGGCAGTATTTAATTTTAGCTATAAAAAGTAATGCTGGCAGGAGGCTCCCAGAATAATCCTTATTTTAGACTATTTTTTTCAAGTTCTACTATTCCATCCCATCAGGGTCACCCAGAGCAGGTGACTCAGGAACTCATCCAGCTGGGTTTTGAATGTCTCTGGAGAGGGAGACTCTCAACCTTCCTGGACAGCCTGATCTAGTGCTCTACCACCCTCAACACAAAGTTCTTTCTCATGCTGAGATGGAACATCTTGTGTTTTAGTTTGTAGCCATTGCTCCTTTCCCAGTCTCTGGACACCACTGAACAGTCTGGCATCATCCTCTTGGCACCCAATTTTGGGATGTGTTATTGAGCTTCCTTCTCAGTCTTCTCCTCTCTAGACTAAACGGGCCCAGCTCTCTCAGCCTCTCCTCACAAGAATCTTCAGTAGAGCTTGTGAAATCATAGAAAGCTAATTTGCACACATCTGTTTGTCAAAAAATGTATTTGCAATCTGCAGTCTTCACAGAAAGTGAATTTTCTGCCTAAAAAAGACACACTTCACTGGAAAGTGTTGTCTCAGAGTTTCTGTTAGGCTTATAGTACATTAATACAGAAAAGACAGTATCCAAGCCTGCTGGTTGAGTGTTTTAGGTCAGCTCCACTGATGGCCACTTCGTCATTTTACTGATTTGTCAGCACTTGACCTTAACTCTTGCACCCATATTCCTTGCCCACAAGTTCTGTCCACTCCTGCTGGTAAAAGTGCAAGACTGATTTCTTGATTCCAGAGTCTCCTTTGGGTCCCATGGAGCAGCTGTGCTCTAAATAGCCTTTATGCCTTTCCTTCTGCACCTTGCCCAGTAGAAGTCAATCTGAAAGGAAAAGAAATGGAAGGGGAAGTTCGAAATAAAAAGGTCATTGCCACAGACATGTCTTAAGCTGTGGATTTAGGGCTGCTGCTTCCTTCCCTGTTATTTTGCCAACAGTGTTAGTACAAA